TAATTAATACTGATTTTTATCATATACCTGGTATATTTTTATCTGTAAATTAAGTTAGTTTTGCATAATTGGTTAAAATTCACCTCGCCCTAGTTGTAAGGTTGTGTATGTTTGTGTATTTGCATAATGTTCACATAGGCAGCATTTCTGTATTCACCAAGTGAACATATGGCAATTTCATTTTATTTTCTCAAATGTATATGACTATAGAAGTTATAGCTGCTCTTAAATTATCCTTCTAACATCTAAGAGTAATTGCTTTGTAATGATATAATCAATCTCTTATGAAAGTTTGTCTGAAAATATGTTGTGTGGAAAAAAATATGGTATTATTTATTCTATTGTCTGATGCAAATTGCAACCTCCTCATACCCAATTTTGCACATTGATCAGCCATGTTTTATCGTTACATAGTTTTATTGTAAAGGGATGACTTATGAACATATTTGCTATTATGCTACTTAAGCTGTTTCACCCATCATAGTCTTTTTGAATTCAGTGAAATACTTCAGCCAGCCATCAATTTATCAAATAACTCCTCAGTTCGATTAATATCCTGGAACTTATGAATAAATCATTAAATAACTCACCATCAGCCAATCAAATTTCATGCACCGACACTCTGTTGCCCATTCATAATGTACCAGTGGACACGTTTTTAGAAGTTTTTGTGATGAAAACAAGATTTGATATTGGTAACATGATGTGTAGTTGATCCAGGGTATTAATCCCACTATTGATGAGATAACCTGCCCTTGATTACAGAGGATGAGGTTGAGTAGTGGTACAATGTGTACATATTGGCAATCATATACTCCACTGATTCACCAAGCCGTGAGGACTATACACCATGAAATGATGGGGTCTTCAGGAATAAAACAATTCAATTTCGGTCTCTTTTTTGTTCTTTGTTAACTGGTGGTTGCAGTGTGTAACCTGACTGACAGTGTCACCAATACACACCAGTGGCGTGGATCGTTCCTCATGCTGCCAACCTCTAGCCTGACCCAGACATAACTGTTTCCAACCAGTGAAGACCCAGGTTAGAATAGGTCTTCAGTAACATTTATTATTAAAAAGAGAGTGAGTTGGGTTTAATGCCACTTTTAACATTATTTCAGTTATATCACGGCATGTCAGCTTAATGTGGGAGGAAAGCCCGAAGTGATGCAGGTCTCAGACGTTTACCACTTTGGTGAAACCCACGAGCTCGGGTATGGTGCTGACAAACCTTGAAACATAATCGGGGCGAACCAGGATTCAAACCCACAATCATAGGTTTCTGGCGTGCCCAAGGGACACAACTCCGGACTGCGTATCGTGGCGCCTTAGACGACTTGGCCACCCTCGCCCCCCTATTATTAAAAGAAACATTCAAGATTGAAATGCATTGTGACAACTTCAACCACCTGGATCTCATACAAAGTAAAATAAGAAGGCATACAAAAGTCACGGAGAGAAGTTAGTTTATTGTAATCTTATATCAACATGACATGCCAGAAACTGTCATATAATACATGGACACGTCCGCCAGTGTCTCAACATACAGCCTCCACACACTCCAGGCTTACAAAAGCAGCAAATCCAAATTATACATAAGTGAGTGAGTACGGTTATTACGCCGCTTTTAGCAATATTCCAGCAATATCACGGCGGGGGACACCAGAAATGGGCTTCACACATTGTACCCATGTCAGGAATCGAACCCGGGTCTTCGGCGTGAAAGCGAACGCTTCAACCACTAGGCTACCCGACCACCCCAAATTATACATAACTATAACTATATATAGCTAATGTAGTTACGGTTCTTTTGATACTTGTGAATAGAGGAAGCACAACTAGTTTAGTTCATTTCAAATGGCAACATGAATTGTTTTCTCTTGGAAATCGAAAGAAGGATTTGTATATTTTTGTCAATAATATGCATCTGATAGAATAATGATGAAAAATATTGATCTTTATTCACTTTTACTGAACCTTAGCAGTGTTCCTTCTGCATCCCCAGTTTAAGAGCTGTATTCTAGTGAAATATAGCAACATGTTCCTAATAAGAATATCGCTGTAAGAAAGTGTCAACAAAGAATCAACTTGTGTGTGCGTAAAAGTAAGTAGAAAATAATCATAATCTTCAAAACAGTTGACCCACAATAAGGAGCTGTGAATGTATACTTCTCCACTTTAGATAGGGATTGTCAGATGTGGAGACAAAACTGTCCCTATCAAATGTTGCGTAGCATCATAAGTTTTCATGTGACAATACGATACACGATACGTTTTTCTCTGTATCGATACAAGACATAAACTCACTGAAATAAATTACTTGCTACTCGTTTAATGACCCCTGGTATTTTTATCAGTCCGATATATAGGAAAATGTTGTACTTAGCTTTCAAGTTCACCTCTAAAAATAGCCATTATGAACATGTGTCTACAGCTTGCTTTTCCTTTTAAACCTGCTCTCAAATATTTATTGTCAAAAAGTTTCCATGTGATATGACATAAATATGTGTATCGTATCGTATCGTGACTATTTACTGCTACTGTGATTCTGTTTGGGAGTAATCACTGCCACGTGTGTGAACACGGCCGACCTTGTGGTCTAGGGCTGGGACGAGTCCAAATTTACTACCTGGGTACCCCAAACCCTATTACATGACCCTACCCAGGTACACACTGCACGTCACGAGAAGGGAACAAAATGTCTGATTTGTAAATGTTTTACCGCAGCCCCGGCTGAAACTATTAGGTTACATGTATCAAACAATCAGATCATGCGTTCACTGAAGTTGACTGAAGCTTTATCTTTACTCAAACATTTACAAGTCAAAGGGAATGTGTGCATCGTCAGAAAGAAGTGGGAACATAAGTGACTTGTAGTGTAACCATGGTAACCACTGAGCTATAAGTTTTTGTCATCAAACAATATATCACGTGACTAACCACGGGTCCGGGTAGTCCTGTGGGTACCCGGGTCTTACTCAGGACCCACCTGACCCGAGTACCCGAGTTATCTGTCCCAGCCCTATTGTGGTCACAAATGATCAATGCTAACATTAGGACAACTGTCAGAATCTTACAAGACTTCTCAAAAGGAGTAACAATCACAAACAGCAAGGAAAACAGTGACAAGTTTAACGTAAACCTCCAAAAATTGTAGCATACACAAAATGTATTAGTAAGTAGATAGGCTGATATTGTTCTCTGATCATGTGTATTGTTTCTCAAGTTTTTAATAGATACATACTGATAATAAATATATCATGAGATGTTCGTTTCTATCCACTTCATCCAAAACATGTCCACTCTGACTGATAACATTAGCCATAGTCGGTGTGTACAACTTGAATGTTTAGGAACAATAGTACACCTTGGCCTAGAACGACACTGTCAGTTCAACAAACAAAATATGCCTCCCACATCAGTTTTGAAAGTCTAATAATTAATTCATTAAGAACAAAATGGATTGACAACTTTTATACATAACAGAACAGCCTTTCCACAAAGCGATCTTGGTGCTAAGACGATCGTAACTCCCATACTTTAACAGACTTAAGACAACCTGGAGACACCCTTTGTGGTCATCACAAAATGAGTGAAGCTACTGACTGGCATTCATATCTTAGAGTCTGCTTCAAATAAACATCATCATCATCATCATGACACAAAAATATTGAAAAAACAAACAAGGAAAATACGTTTCTGTCTATCCACTAAACTTGGAATTTGTCACTCGGGAAATACAGCAAATGAACAAACAAAAAAATAAATAATTACCGTATTCAACGTAATAAGCGCCCCGCTCTAATAAGCGCCCACGGCGATATTTGCTAACATATTGGCTAGTGAACAATCCCAATTAGCACCCCTTCCGATTGATCAATGTACACAAAACTTATTTATTCGCGTATAATACGCACTCGTGTGTTATATGCACCCTTAATTATGGGCAGTTAAATTCTGGAAAAATATATCCGACGTATATAAACATTTCAGGCTGTCAGCATAAACCACGAAAATTCATCCTTTAACTCTGTTTTTTTTCACCAAAATAATATTCTAATAAGAGCCCCCTATTTCTAATTTTGAGAGCGCCCTGGGCGCTTATTACGTCGAATACGGTACCTTGCATCTAGTTCACGGGTAGATTAACAGAGCAATCCTATCTACATTATCTTAACATGGCACACAACAGTAGGAGACTGGGGATGAAGGCTGTGACAACATGTAGTATAGAAACTACTCCAAAGAACACCAGATTCTTCAATGATACGGTAGTTAATCTGTCATATAATATATGAAGTAACTCGGTGTTCTTTAACTTCTTTTGAGTAGTATAGTGAGGTAGCAATGCCATACATGAAGCAACAAGAGACATCTCCACACTTGGCCATACTCTATCGTCACAGGGAATGGACACTGGGCCAACCACTTACTGAGATCACTTGTTTATATTGCCAGAAGGAATTTTACACAATCTCATCAAAATCGGATTTTAGTTTTCGCCAACCCTTAACAAAAATCTGAGGACATCCCATTAGGTTCATGTCAGAACGACCTCTCGCGAACTTTGACCGATCAATGAAATGACTGAAAAGAAATCGACATTAGCCAATCAGAAGGCAGCTTTCTCGAGCTTTACGATACTAGTTTCAAACTGGTGACTACACTTTGAAACATATTTTGACGTATTCTCGGTTAAAAAATTTAAAACTTATAAAAAGAACATTCTGAAATGGCTTACAGATGGCCTAGATTGTATGGATATAATCATAAAACCCGTAAGTGTCGTTCGGAATACCCTCTGTGAAATATTTCGAGGTTGTGTGATCAAAAAACAAATTCCGTCTGTCACTTTCATGATCTAGTAAGCAACGCTCTGATTGGTTGGATGAAAGGTCGTTCTGACGTGACCCGTAATGGGATGTCCTCATATCTTTGTTTAGCGATAGCAAGAACTAAGATCTGATTTTAATGAGATTGGAATTTTCCATTTCATTTTTCCTTATGCACACTACTATAATGAACACCTGATTCTTTCATATTACTCTCAATATCATGGCATGACAGATTAGCTGTAGTAACAGGAAAGTGTCAGGAGTTCCTAAACTTGTTTTGAGTAGTAGATACTGCTTTGTTTGGATACACAACTTTATTGTTTGATCCTCATCGTTGACATACAGTACCACAATGAGCTCTTACTTCGTCACAGCCCTACTAGTGGGAATGCCAACCCCCAATCCTTGAAATTAGAGACTGAAAATCAGGACAAGAAGACAATTTGAAACATATGAGTTTTGTTGTTGATCATATTAAAACGCTAACAGCCGGTATCCCAATAACAAATGATGACAACAAATTAGGACCAGATTCTATTTATTTGTTTCAAACTGTATATCAGTTGACTCAATCTGCCATGAAAAAGTCTCATGTGACACATTCAAGAAGTATTTCTCTGAATGGTACTAAATACATGAAAGGAAAGCCGTCATTGTGTCTGCTGCTGACTTAGAATCAAACCTGTTTGGTCATCAATTTCTTAATAAATATGTCATTTAAGATAGCAAATTCACTTTTTTGCTGCAGCATCAAAGAAGACAGGGTTGGCATGGATGTTCTTTCTTTGTTATTTTCATGTGATGTTTCAGTACAGGTGCCTGAACCAGTAGCTCTATCAAGCAAGTGATGTAGAAACCAACAGTGATCACTCCTTTGTGAAAGATACTAGCACCTCTATCGAAGCACTGCATTCAAATCACAAAGAAGTAGAAATCCAGAAGCTAACTGGGTCTTCATCTCTGAAATGTCTGTCTGACAGCGTTAGAAACTAACAGTTTTTGTCCAATTGTCCTCATAATGATAATATACATCAAAAACCCTTATAATACCTTAACTATTGGGCAGTCTGGCAAGGACTACAGGACTAGTGTCAAGTTCTAGCGCTGTCTGACATTACCTTACTGGAGTGTTATTACTACAAGAACTACCTCTAACACTTTACGCTTGGGGGTTTGTAACTGAGTATTTGGCAAGGCATCATTAAATATCAACTCATGACACAGGTACTGCTCACCCACATCAGGACGTTTCAAAATCCAACAATATTTTTAACAATGGGGCTACTTCATAACCAATCATGGCAACGAAATTAGAGAAAATGCATCAGTGAGATTCAATGTTTTTGTCTCAGTCAGTTCATATTATTGCCACTATGTTGTCTCTGATTAATATAATTTTGTTCATTATCAATACTGTTCGTAGTGTGGTGATTAGTTTCGGCTATAATTCTCCAGGATATATGTCGCCTGTGGTACTGTGGACCCACACACTCCATAACAAATGAGGTTTTCCTAATGATCAAATATCACCCGATATTCCCAGTTCAGGAAAATTCACTTCATGTCATGCCAGTCAAACTGGTAGTGTAACTATGTCGTAAAATAAACATCAACAACCATTTGGAACAAAAGAACTGTTTCACATTTACATATTCATGTTAGGAAAAAGTTATCTTGCCTCTTGAATTCATTGTAACTGAATTGTTATTCAATCAAGAAAATAAATTAATGACAATTATGTTTGATTTTGTCATTTTATAGACAAAGAATACTACTCAACTTTTGATAGGGATATTCTGAGTTCATAGTGAGTGAGTATGGTTTTCCGCCGCTTTTAGCAGTATTCCAGCAATATCACGGCGGGGGACACCAGAAATGGGCTTCATACATTGTACCAATGTCGGGAATCGAACCTGTGTCTTCGGCGTGACAAGCAAACGCTTTAACCACAAGGCTAACCGACCACCCCTCGGAGTTCATAAGGAGATTATATGACATACAGTTTGGAAATGTGTATGTATCTTTTGATAATTATTAGTTTAATTTCAAGTTATGATAAATATGTATATCCATAAGTTTTCTGATTTTCCAGGACAGTTCGAAAAATGTCTGTCTGATTTTCCAGGACAGTTAGAAAAATGTCTGTCTGATTTTCCAGGACAGTTCGAAAAATGTCTGTATCCTTATCAAAAGTTGAGTTGTATATATGTTCTCTGGGAGTGATAACAAATGCACATGACCACACAAATACTGAACACCCACTTTCAGCACACCGGCCACCTCCTCGATCGAGACACCAACTAACTAGCACTTTTTGAGCCTATACACAGTCTTTCATTGTATACACCAGACCTACGACCCTCGTTCTATTAAAATGGTAAAAGAACTGGTAATATCTGAACAGTTTCTGGAAAACATCAAGGGATGTTCAGACTCTTTTTGACAGCTCTTATAACATTGATGGGCTGAGGGAAGGCGCAGTCTTCGAGGGTCTTGGCATACGGTGTGGGGACATCGGCGCCAGACACACGCAGGATTGGTGCGTCAAGGTAGTTAAAGGCAGGACCTGAACAAAAGACCATTTAGTGAGTGAGTGAGTTAGTGAGCTGGATTTAAAGCCTATTTTAGCAGTATTTCAGTTATATCATGCTGCATTAGCATAATGTGGGCGGAAAGCCTAAAGTGTAATATACAGATTTCAGCCACTTTGGTGATACCAATGAGTACTATTTGGTGCTGACAACCTACAAGCACATGTTTGGTACAGACAAACCTTGGATGATGATAAAGGCAAATCTGGGATTTGAACCTAAAGAGAGCAGATTCAGGTAGGACAAGCCTTGACGTCCTACATTTCTACAAAGCATTTGTTCCTAGTCGTCAGACTGGAAGGCATCACTCCCATCCACTGTGCAGTTCTACTGGCAAGCCCCAAGGGTCTAATAAGACTCAGCTGACCAAACTTCACAAGGACATCACAAGACCTTGTATCTATTTACACCAAAATATAGATTCTCTGTGTTGCAGGAATCATAAAGACTAATACCTTCACTAATGCTCCAAAAGGTCAAAGTGAAGAAAATCATTTTTGGTTTAAAGATGGGAACTGCTCATACAAAACAGTGTTCAGGAAAATGTGTATTTCAAAAGTCTTTGAAGAATAATATAAAAAATCAAACACTTTTAATCCTTTCAGCCGATTTTCAAGGAAGACAAACCTCTTATTTCAAATCTTTTCCATGAATTGCTCAAAGTGTTTACGAGGGATGCAACTTAACCCGAAAACTTTACCAGCCCAAACAGTGAGGACAAATAACAACCCTAAAAAGCATGATGTTCTACTCACTCGGCCCAGAGGGCGAGTGGCAAGTTTTAAATTTGTATGCAACTTTCAAAGAGTTGCGTGAAAAGTGAACTTACTTTCTATCAAACGAGCACATATCTCAGATCCTACACCAGACTGGGGCCAGCCTCCCTCCACTGTCACCAGGTGGTTGGTCTTCATTACTGACTGGATAACTGTCTCCTCGTCCAGCGGCCGAATTGACCTCAAGTTGACCACCTCACACTCAACACCCTGCCCGGCAAGCTCCTCTGCTGCCTGTAGACAGGTACCCACACATCGGGAGTGGCTCACTAGGGTCACGTGACTTCCTGGCAATCAAACAATCGGAAGATACGTGAGAGGAGTCGGTGACTTAAGTCATTAGTCCGAAGTCAACTTTAGTAAAATTCGGTTCCGTCTTGTAATCTCAGCTAATAACCATCCATATCATAACATTAAAATTTACTGAAAATAAAGCAAAGAGCCAAGTTCCGACTCGTAGACTCAAAAGCATTTTGCACAGACAGTGTTTAGGGAGAATATTTTTTCAAGCCAGGGCCTCAACAAATACATTTTTCACTTTTACTTAAGGAGGAGCCTAAAACGATTGGGGAGATCCACATCACATTATGTTTCAGAACACCCAACATGTCAAGTTAATATCTTTTATCATTTATATATCTATTTGTTTTGTTTTTTTTGTTTTTTTTTGCTTTTAGGGTTTTTTTTGGTGTGTGTGTGTGTATGTGTTGATAAAACCGAGGACAATTGTTTTTTCTTATAAACACTACTGGCTGTTGTACCACTATTGCTAGGTTTCTTTGTTTCATGCCACATTCAGCAATACTCAAATCTTAGTGCCTTAATGTAATTGTCTAAATGATAACAGAAACAGTCAATCACACTCTATTGCACCACAGGCACTTGTTAAGACTTCAGTCAAATTCACTTATGTTTGTGTGCATTTTCTTCGCAAATGGACAAAAATACCTGCACATTTATATATTTGTTGCAAAACCTAACACACAGCGACGTTCCACTAATAATGGCAACAAATGCTGTGTCGTGAGTGAGTGAGTATGGTTTTACGCCGCTTTTAGCAATATTCCAGCAATATAACGGTGGGGGACACCAGAAAATGGGCTTCACACATTGTACCCATGTGGGGAATCGAACCCGGGTCCCTTGAGTGAACGCATGAACCACTAGGCTACCCCGCCGCCACTCAAGCAACATGACTACAATGCAGGGATGTAGCAGTAAAGAATGTTGGAAGGCTTCTCCTTCATGTAACAAATACAGGAATGAGGTCATACATCACTCCTAATCTTTAACAAATTGTCTCTTTGTCTATGACTCTGGGCTGCATCGCTTTGTATCAACAAGAAACTGACTTAAACCATGAAGCTGGAACATGGAACATCCACGACATAATTGCACGGTGATTACAAAAAGCATACCATCAGAATGCTTACTAAAAGACTCATGGCCTCAGTAGCGGTTGAGTGTAGGAACTGAAAACAGTTTCAATTAAACAAAATTACAAACCTGTTCTTTCGATTTTAGCTTTTCCTACAGGCAGGATGAAATCGGGAGATAATGCTTCATCGGAGATCTCGAAAGACGTGCCATACATCAGCTCGTTCTCCAAGAATACAACTACAAAATGAACAGAGTGACCAGGCAGACTTGTTGAAAGGTAATGCTGATGTTTGTCAGCGGCAGCAAATGACAGATGCTCATATATATATATATAAAGAGAGAGAGAGAGAGGGAGAGAGAGAGAGAGAGTGCTGTAGTGGCCTATCAGCACTGGAAGAGTGAAGAGTTGCCTCCCCTGGAGGAGTTTCATGATTTGACAAGTTCCAGAGACGAGGGCGATTCGAGGCCCTGAACCTGACTTGCTATATATCTGTTTGTTTTTTGTTGTTTTTACGCCGCACTCAACAATATTCCAGCTATATGACGGCGCTCTGTAAATAATCAAGTCTGGATAACACAATCCAGTGATTAATGTCATGAGCATCGATCTACGAAATTGGGATACGATGCCATGCATCAACTAAGTCAGTGAGTCTGACCACAAGATCCCTTATTGCCTCTTATCACAAGCATGGGCTGCTGAAGACCAATTCTAACCCGGAATCTAACTGCTATAAATCTTGTTGCCCAGTGCAAACGTTAAACCTATCTGAAAACACATTCCTGTCAGCTTCCAATATTATTCCAGATTCAAGAACAGAGCATGAAAGTGAAAACGCCACTTTGAAACTTGTTTCAATCATCATGGCATGTCTGCCTCATGTGGCAAGTAATGCAGATCCTAGACATTGACCACTTTGGTGTAACCATGAACATCAGCATAGTGCTGACAAACTTAGGAACAAAATCAGCTCAAATTGGGATTCAAACCCAAGACCAATGTTTCTCGGCCACCTGTGACCCCCAGAGTACAATGATGCTACCCTACCTGGGTTGGGGTCCCTGATAGCAGCCTTGAGCAGCCCCCTAGCATCTTCTGAGGAATAAGGGGAGAGAACTTTGAGTCCTGGACAGTGACTGTACCAGGCAGCGAAACACTGGGAGTGTTGGGCAGCCACGCCCATGGCAGCACCATTGGGGCCTCGGAACACAATCGGCACTTGCACCTTGAGAAAGAAAACGTGCAGAGTCACTTAAAGATGTAGCCTTTGTTTTACCATATTTAAAAACTACAGCTAGATTGTTCTCGTGGGTCACTGGAGACGTGATGTCAGATGACAACCCCCAAATTCAACTTAAAGTAACATGACTCAATTTCAACATGTTGAAAATATATACAAAATTTGCATACATTTCACCAAATCTATACTTGCAACAGGTATGACATAGTGAGTGAGTATGGTTTTCCGCCGCTTTTAGCAATATTCCAGCAATATCATGGCGGGGGACACCAGAAATGGGCTTCACACATTGTACCCATGTCGGGAATTGAACCTGGGTCTTCGGCGTGACGAGCAAACGCTTTAACCACAAGGATACCCGACCGCCCCATATTCAACAAGTAGATAACCAGATGTCCTAAGATTGCATAAGGACTCATTTCTCATTCAGGCCTTTAATCATTGTGATTATGTCAAATGCAATTTGCTCCAAATGTCTCAGATCAGGGAATGTAAGTAAATGCATGTTTTAATAGCTTGTATAATTTACCTGATATATCCCATCCTTAGAATATTGGACGTAAAATCAAAGAACAAACAGAAGCTGTGATATGATATTCATATTTCCAAAGTTTACTCTAAGGCTCAGATTTATTTTCCTCATTAATCTCAGCATGTTTTTCAGTCCTACTCACAGTGCCGGCAGACATGTAGAAAGTCTTTGCAGCAGAATTGATAACCTGAAACAGGAAGAACATCATATCTGTGTCAGAAGCCAGTGTTTTGTTGAAGAAAGACGAGTTCTATGGATGAACAACTTCTTTATTACAATTAGTGCGACGTTTCGGTGTAGATCCTAACACCTTTATCAAGCAAGTGATGAACAACTTCATTACAATTAGTGCAACGTTTCAGTGTAGATCCTAACACCTTTATCAAGCAAGTGATGAACAACTTCTTTATTACAATTAGTGCGACGTTTCGGTGTAGATCCTAACACCTTTATCAAGCAAGTGATGAACAACTTCATTACAATTAGTGCAACGTTTCAGTGTAGATCCTAACACCTTTATCAAGCAAGTGATGAACAACTTCTTTATTACAATTAGTGCGACGTTTCGGTGTAGATCCTAACACCTTTATCAAGCAAGTGATGAACAACTTCTTTATTACAATTAGTGCGACGTTTCGGTGTAGATCCTAACAACTTTATCAAGCAAGTGATGAACAACTTCTTTATTACAATTAGTGCGACGTTTCGGTGTAGATCCTAACACCTTTATCAAGCAAGTGATGAACAACTTCTTTATTACAATTAGTGCGACGTTTGGGTGTAGATCCTAACACCTTTATCAAGCAAGTGATTTGTTGTTTACAAGTTCCTGGACAGTCCAATGCACCACTATTTGTTTGGATGTCTCATGGGTCATGAGGTACGTCCTTCAAAAACTTGCAAAGACAAGTTAATAGATATCAGGACCATCTCATTTAACAATATCAAACCAACCAAATCAGGCAAATCTGTTTTCCAACGGGGATATTGAATTGTTTTCTTTCAAATGTGCTGCAGAACACTGACGAAGATGCTTGATGTAACCTTGTTAATTTAGCCTGCAAACAATACGTTTCATCTGTCTTTGACCTATCAAGATCTAAGCCTTGTCAAAAAGAAAAGCAATGTTCAACTATTAAACCTAATCTCCACAAGTTCACCTAAAGACATCATTACTTGGGCAGTACCTACCTGATCTATGGCTTGCATGGAGAAGTTGAAGGTCATGAATTCACACACCGGCTTCAGTCCAGCCTGCAAATCAAGGCAACCTTCATGCAACTCAACTCCACAAACAAATCAACCAATGTTCTTTGTAGATGTTAACAGTAATATTTCACCACAGCTCTTTCCAGACAGCAGTTCATGACATAAGAAACCAGAGCTAGCCCAAAGCTAGTAAACATCATTAATGAGCCTACATATCCTACAGGAAATAAAGCCAGTAAAATAAGGTTTTCAAAACCGACCCAGTGAGTTCGGCTTAATGCCACTTTGAACAATACTTTTGTTATATCTGGGAGGAAACAATACATATATATGTGTGAGGAAAGCCTTAAGTAATGTATGTCTAATACATTTATCACTTTGAGAAACCCATTAGCATGGGTACTGTGCTGACAAACTTATGATCACGATCATAAGTTTCTGGGTTTTGGACGCTGTCTCAATAAAAGTGTGTTACATTAATCTGCATCAACCAGTGTTTAAGTGCATCAAGCATGAGCTTGCATGAACATATTGTCCATACATCAACACCTACCATGGCAGCTCCTACAGCAATACCAGCAAAGCCCAACTGCAAGACAAGCAGGGCATGTATTAATAAGACAGCATCATGGACACCACATAACAGTGGACATGTACATCAACATATACCACTTAGAAGAAACCACCAGGAAAAGAAACAGTTTGCCTCATACAAAAGGTATCCAACATTGTGAAAGACATTTTGAGATGTTATTATCATTCACTGTCATACTTTCACTAGTTTCAGGTTAATGATTATTCTCCACATAGTGATAGCAATCCATTGACATTATGATAATCATACATTCACATAACAATCATCCGTTCACATTATCATAACGATGTACTAACATTTTGATAACCATCCATTCCTATACAGCCTCTGGTTGGGCCACTACAATCATACCCTGTGTCTAGACTCTCTGCCAGGAGGGACACTACAATCATACCGTGTCTAGACTCTCTGCTAGGACGGCCACTACAATCATACCCTGTGTCTAGACTCTCTGCCAGGAGGGCCACTACAATCACACCCTGTGTCTAGACTCTCTGCTAGGAGGGCCACTACAATCACGCCCTGTGTCTAGACTATCTGCTAGGAGGGACACTACAATCATACCCTGTGTCTAGACTCTCTGCTAGGAGGGTCACTACAATCACACCATGTGTCTAGACTCTCTGCTAGGAGGGCCACTACAATCATACCTTGTGTCTAGACTCTCTGCTAGGAGGGCCACTACAATCATACCTTGTGTCTAGACTCTCTGCCAGGAGGGCCACTACAATCATACCCTGTATCTAGACTCTCTGCCAGGAGGGCCACTACAATCATACCCTGTATCTAGACTCTCTGCTAGGAGGGCCACTACAATCATACCCTGTGTCTAGACTCTCTGCTAGGAGGGCCACTACAATCATACCATGTGTCTAGACTCTCTGCTTGGAGGGCCACTACAATCATACCCTGTGTCTAGACTCTCTGCTTGGAGGGACACTACAATCATACCCTGTGTCTAGACTCTCTGCTAGGAGGGCCACTACAATCATACCCTGTGTCTAGACTCTCTGCTAGGAGGGCCACTACAATCATACCTTGTGTCTAGACTCTCTGCTAGGAGGGCCACTACAATCATACCCTGTGTCTAGACTCTCTGCCTGGAGGGCCACTACAATCATACCCTGTGTCTAGACTCTCTGCTAGGAGGGCCACTACAATCATACCTTGTGTCTAGACTCTCTGCTAGGAGGGCCACTACAATCACACCCTGTATCTAGACTCTCTGCTAGGAGGGCCACTACAATCATACCCTGTATCTAGACTCTCTGCCAGGAGGGCCACTACAATCATACCCTGTGTCTAGACTCTCTGCTAGGAGGGCCACTACAATCATACCCTGTGTCTAGACTCTCTGCTAGGACGGCCACTACAATCATACCCTGTGTCTAGACTCTCTGCTAGGAGGGTCACTACAATCACACCCTGTGTCTAGACTCTCTGCTAGGGGGGCCACTACAATCACGCCCTGTATCTAGACTCTCTGCTAGGAGGGCCACTACAATCACACCCTGTATCTAAACTCTCTGCTAGGAGGGCCACTACAATCATACCCTGTATCTAGACTCTCTGCTAGGAGGGCCACTACAATCATACCCTGTGTCTAGACTCTCTGCTAGGAGGGCCACTACAATCATACCATGTGTCTAGACTATCTGCTTGGAGGGCCACTACATTCATACCCTGTGTCTAGACTCTCTGCTTGGAGGGCCACTACAATCATACCCTGTGTCTAGACTCTCTGCTAGGAGGGCCACTACAATCATACCCTGTGTCTAGACTCTCTGCTAGGAGGGCCACTACAATCACACCTTGTGTCTAGACTCTCTGCTAGGGGGGCCACTACAATCACGCCCTGTATCTAGACTCTCTGCTAGGAGGGCCACTACAATCATACCCTGTGTCTAGACTCTCTGCTAGGAGGGCCACTACAATCATACCCTGTGTCTAGACTCTCTGCTAGGAGGGCCACTACAATCACACCATGTGTCTAGACTCTCTGCTAGGGGGGGCACTACAATCACGCCCTGTATCTAGACTCTCTGCTAGGAGGGCCACTACAATCATACCCTGTGTCTAGACTCTCTGCTAGGAGGGCCACTACAATCATACCCTGTGTCTAGACTCTCTGCTAGGAGGGCCACTACAATCACACCCTGTGTCTAGACTCTCTGCTAGGGGGGCCACTACAATCATACCCTGTATCTAGACTCTCTGCTAGGAGGGCCACTACAATCATACCCTGTGTCTAGACTCTCTGCTAGGACGGCCACTACAATCATACCCTGTGTCTAGACTCTCTGCCAGGAGGGCCACTACAATCACACCCTGTGTCTAGACTCTCTGCTAGGAGGGCCACTACAATCACGCCCTGTGTCTAGACTATCTGCTAGGAGGGACACTACAATCATACCCTGTGTCTAGACTCTCTGCTAGGAGGGCCACTACAATCATACCATGTGTCTAGACTCTCTGCTTGGAGGGCCACTACAATCATACCCTGTGTCTAGACTCTCTGCTTGGAGGGACACTACAATCATACCCTGTGTCTAGACTCTCTGCTAGGAGGGCCACTACAATCATACCCTGTGTCTAGACTCTCTGCTAGGAGGGCCACTACAATCATACCTTGTGTCTAGACTCTCTGCTAGGAGGGCCACTACAATCATACCCTGTGTCTAGACTCTCTGCCAGGAGGGCCACTACAATCATACCCTGTGTCTAGACTCTTTGCTTGGAGGGCCACTACAATCACACCTTGTGTCTAGACTCTCTGCCAGGAGGGCCACTACAATCATACCATGTGTCTAGACTCTCTGCCAGGAGGGCCACTACAATCATACCCTGTGTCTAGACTCTCTGCTGGGAGGGCCACTACAATCACACCCTGTGTCTAGACTCTCTGCTAGGAGGGCCACTACAATCACACCCTGTGTCTAGACTCTCTGCTAGGAGGGCCACTACAATCATACCATGTGTCTAGACTCTCTGCCAGGAGGGCCACTACAATCATACCCTGTATCTAGACTTTCTCTAGGAGGGCCACTACAATCATACCCTGTATCAAGACTCTCTGCTAGGAGGGCCACTACAATCATACCCTGTGTCTAGACTCTCTGCTTTGACGGCTACTACAATCACACCCTGTGTCTAGACTCTCTGCTAGGAGGGCCACTACAATCATACCCTGTGTCCAGACTCTCTGCTAGGAGGGCCACTACAATCATACCTTGTGTCTAGACTCTCTGCCTGGAGGGCCACTACAATCACACCCTGTATCTAGACTCTCTGCTAGGAGGGCCACTACAATCACACCCTGTATCTAGACTCTCTGCTAGGAGGGCCACTACAATCACACCCTGTATCTAGACTCTCTGCTAGGAGGGCCACTACAATCATACCCTGTGTCTAGACTCTCTGCTAGGAGGGTCACTAGTCATACCTCAGTGATGGGTGTGTCAATGACACGCTTGTCCCCATATTTTTTCCACAGTCCACGTGTCACCTGTAAGTGAAGAAAACAGAGCGGTCATGACAAAGTGAATACATAGTTAAAACTACATGATGACTAGTTTCCAACACCATACAAACTCATCTACATCACTTACACCTTCATATGCAACATTTCTTACAGGTAAGATCCGTAACTTTTATCATATGCATTCCTGTCATTTTCTGCAAGCCGTCTGTTTGGCGTTTTTAAGAATCATCTTATCCTAACAACACCCATGTCCATTCACACATGTTCCAAAGACAGGTGTATGTGCCCTGGATCCCTTGCCTCTGTCATCTGTCAACACCATATTTCATCACTTGGGAATATGTATAGTCTAAATGATTTAGGTCAATACAATACCATTGCTCTCAATACAATACCACTGCTCTCAATACAATACCATTTCTCTCAATACAATGCCCTCTAAGCTGGTTTGAGTGAGTGAGTGAGTATGGTTTTACGCCGCTTTTAGCAATATTCCAGCAATATCACGGCGGGGGACACCAGAAATGGGCTTCACACATTGTACCCATGTCGGGAATCGAACCCGGGTTTTCGGCGTGACGAGCGAACACATTAACAACTAGGCTACCTGACCGCCCCTCTAAGCTGGTTTGAGAAACTGAATATTGTTTTACACCAGAGTCAGCAATATTATAGCTACATCACTGTGGTGTGAAGTCCCGACCACACAAACAAGTGGTCGGCAAGAATGATGATGACATACATTGTAACCAGAGCTAATTCAGCTCTTATGAACAGGGGGAGGGGGGTCGATTCTTCCTTGGCATCCTAATGGGCACATGAAAGTAGGTGCCAGTTTGAGTCCGACCATTTAATATTTGGAGGGGTTTCTGTTAGAGTAGTAGTAGTAAGTATGGTTTGACGCCGAGTTTAGCAATATTCCAGCAATATCACGGCGGGCGACACCAGAAATGGGCTTCACACATTGTACCCATGTCGGGAATTGAACCCGATTTGGCGTGACGAGCAAACGCTTTAACCACTAGACTACCCGACCGCCACTTCTGTTAGAGAATATGAGATTATTTTTTCCATCAAGACATGGAGTTTATCTCTCGAAACTCAGAACAATCTTCTTTTTTTTCTTTTTTTTCTCTTGATAGCATATTTTTTCCCATGACATGTCAAAAAAACATGTTTCTGTGGTGTCAAACCAGAGGCAATCATATACTTCCAGCATATCAAATGGTCGGCCCCATAACAGCTCCTGTATAATATATCTTGCAATTTGCATCAAGAAAATACTTTCATTGTCATATATTGTTTATCATTATAAGAAATATCTCAAGGCCAAAAGGTTTTCTTTATTCTTATTTGCCAGATATGTTCTATGTCAAAAAGCAACATTTCATCCATGATTGTCTAAGAAATATGACCCTTGTCAAAATTGAATGTCAATACTTGCAACCAATACAAAATACTTCAGCAATGAAGTTGAAGGAAATACTTACTTGTGAAATTGATGGGCCATGTATCAGAAATATGGGGCAAAGGGAAGCCATTTTATGGTGCTCAAGAATGAATGGTCTTTTGCTGGGCAATCAGAATCAAATGACCCATACTGAAGATTATCCCATGGCCAGTGCTATTTACATCACCTTCCCTGCACACAATTCACTGGCCACTGCTATTTACATACCTTCCCTGCAGTCTATTCACTGGCCACTGCTATTTACATACCTTCCCTGCAGTCTATCCACTGGCCACTGCTATTTACATACCTTCCCTGCAGTCTATTCACTGGCCACTGCTATTTACATACCTTCCCTGCAGTCTATCCACTGGCCACTGCTATTTACATCACCTTCTCTGCACACTATTCACTGGCCACTGCTATTTACATCACCTTCCCTGCAGTCTATCCCATGGCCAGTAATATTTCATATCAGCTTCCCCCTTTCCCTACAGACTATCCCATGGCCAGTAATATTTACATCACCTTACCTACAGACAATCCCATGGCCAGTGCTATTTACATCACCTTCCCTGCACACTATTCACTGGCCACTGCTATTTACATCACCTTCCCTGCAGTCTATCCCATGGCCAGTAATATTTCATATCAGCTTCCCCCTTTCCCTACAGACTATCCCATGGCCAGTAATATTTACATCACCTTACCTACAGACAATCCCATGGCCAGTGCTATTTACATCACCTTCCCTGCACACTATTCACTGGCCACTGCTATTTACATCACCTTCCCTGCAGTCTATCCCATGGCCAGTAATATTTCATATCAGCTTCCCCCTTTCCCTACAGACTATCCCATGGCCAGTAACATTTACATCACCTTCCCTACAGACTATCCCATGGCCAGTAATATTTAAATCGCCTTCCCTACAGACTATCCCATGGCCAGTAATATTTACATCACCTTCCCTACAGACTATCCCATGGCCAGTAATATTTACATCACCTTCCCTACAGACTATCCCATGGCCAGTAATATTTACATCACCTTCCCTACAGACTATCCCATGGCCAGTAATATTTACATCGCCTTCCCTACAGACTATCCCATGGCCAGTAATATTTACATCACCTTCCCTACAGACTATCCCATGGCCAGTAATATTTACATCACCTTCCCTACAGACTATCCAATGGCCAGTAATATTTACATCACCTTCCCTACAGACTATCCCATGGCCAGTAATATTTACATCACCTTCCCTACAGACTATCCCATGGCCAGTAATATTTACATCACCTTCCCTACAGACTATCCCATGCCCAGTAATATTTACATCACATTCCCTACAGACTATCCCATGGCCAGTAATATTTACATCACCTTCCTTACAGACTATCCCATGGCCAGTAATATTTACATCACCTTCCCTACAGACTATCCCATGGCCAGTAATATTTACATCACCTTCCCTGCAGTCTATCCCATGGCCAGTAATATTTCATATCAGCTTCCCCCTTTCCCTACAGACTATCCCATGGCCAGTAATATTTACATCACCTTCCCTACAGACTATCCCATGGCCAGTAATATTTACATCACCTTCCCTACAGACTATCCTACGGCCAGTAATATTTACATCACATTCCCTACAGACTATCCCAAGGCCAGTAATATTTACATCACCATCCCTACAGACTATCCCATGGCCAGTAATATTTACATCACCTTCCCTACAGACTATCCCATGGCCAGTAATATTTACATCATCTTTCCCACAGACTATCCCATGGCCAGTGATATTTACATCATCTTTCCTACAGACTATCCCATGGCCAGTGATATTTACATCATCTTTCCTACAGACTATCCCATGGCCAGTAATATTTACATCAGTAGAAATATATCAGTTGGTTTGGCAAGTCACATGCTTTAGAAAGTTCTGGCTGCATTTTAGCCTTGTTCAGGATGTAAAGTGTAATCTTTGAAAATACTTCCAATAATTTTAAAAAAGCATCTCCATACAACAAATATATTTCACCAATATTTGATTGTCTGACAACATCAACATGATCAATGACGCTTGTTAGCGGTCATGATTTTGTCTTGTCTCAATCATTCACAACATCGTTTGCTGCTTCACGCTGTACACCAGTATTCCAGCCATATCACAGAAGCCAGTAATGAAGTCAGTCCTGACCAAACGAACCAGTGACTAATTGTATGAACATGACTTGGTCATCACATCCTGATGACATGGATCTTTGTTCACAATATCAATCACTGGATTGTGTGGTCCAGACTAGATTAATTACAGGTCACAATCATATAGCTGTAATATTGCTGAGTGCAGCATTAAACAACAAACAAACAGACAAAATCAAGCAGGTCAAGGTCATAGAATGATGACAGACCATTTGGCCATTATGTGGTGCACGTTCCATGCCCCTGGGTTAATACATCCATTAAAGGGACAGAAATTATGTGTTTTCAAGTATGCCCCATGGCACTCTTAAAGAAGATTAGGTGTTCCCTATGGAATAAAGTGTGCCAACTAGAAGAACACTTTTGATCTATCCTAGAGTGAGTGAGTGAGTGAGTATGGTTTTACGCCGCTTTTAGCAATATTCCAGCAAATCACTGCGGGGGACACCACAAATGGGCTACACACATTGTACCCATGTCGGGAATCGAACCCGGGTCTTCGGCGTGACGAGCGAACGCTTTAACCACTAGGCTACCCGACCGCCCCGATCTATCCTAGAACCTGGTGATGTTATTTCACCAAGGCTAAGCAATAAGCAGTTGTACTGTAAGCGCTAAGCTTGTCCTATTCCTTTTCTTTGAGGCTGACAAAATCCTTTTCGTTCCTGAATACCCAAATATATCTTGTAAATCATAATCTTCATTAAACATGTTCATATGTTCATTAAGTGCGTTCATATGTTCATTATAGTGTGTTCATAAGTTCACTGAGTGTGTTCATATGTTCATCAAGTGTGTTCATATGTTCGTTAATATGTTCATTAAGTGTGTTCAAATGTCCATTAAGTGTGTTCACGTGTTCATTAAGTGTGTTCCTATGTTCATCGGTTTTCATGTGATTGTCATGTTTGATGAAAACTTAACATATATGATTTCCAAGATTCACAACCAGGCCATTTGTATTATAACCATATTGTCTGCATGAACTTATTGTCTGTTTTTCCATAGTTATTTTAAGGGCCATTTTTGGCTAAGTTTCTCATTTCTCGAAAGCCTGCACCTCAGGGTATAATTGGATGGTCTCCAGAAATCACTGTTAAAGATTCTTGTTTGTATTGGAAGCATGTGTAAAATCTTCTCCAAAACAACAAACATGTACAACATTGGCATGTTGAGGGTGTCGGTGTATTATGTGCAAACATTGGGACTGACAGTTTTAAGCATAAGCGGCCCGGGACTACACTATTGTTCTATATTTCTCACTAATAAGTATTTACCTAAACATAGTGACAGACAATATATGTTTTATTGCATAATATTGCATATCACAAATAATATGTCTTCATCTGCATAACAATATTTTTGG